CCCCGGTTTTTTGGGGTTGGGGGTAAAAGGTCCAAAGGTTTCGGCCTCCCCGGTTTTGGGGCCCCCCCCCCCCCCCCCCCCCCCCCGGTCTTCTTCTCCTCTCTCTCTTTTTCCCTCGTGTTCCCTTTTCTTGGCGAACGGCTTGGACACACAGCCGCGTTTGATGGTGGAGGAGATGGACAAACTCGTCAGCGCCCTCGCCCGCGCTTGCGTTCGGGTGAGAAAGCATCACAGTATCAAGTGTTTTGGTGACGTAAGGAGCTCTGCAGTCAGAGAAACAGAGAGGGAGAGAGAGAGAGAGCGACACAGACAAACAGACATGGTTGTGACACGCCTCCGCCTCGATTTGGCTGTGCCGTGGTCATTTAATAGGAGGGTGGCTTATACTCAGGTGGCTTGTATTTCCCGTGCGCGCAAAGTAGGATGGAACGATTGGCCATCGGTAGTCGGTCCTGTGGGAACAATGCTCCGTCCTCTCGAAGGCGCGTGGTCAACGATGTAACAACTAAAAGGCATGCAAAACTTGAGTACGCCCCGCGTCCGCGTCCGCGTGGCCGGCCCTCGTCTAAGGAGTACGCTGCTGCAACCCCTGCCCCCTCCTTCGTCTGCTGTATATCACCTCTGCTATGTATCACCGGGCTTTGTGACGGCTACAGACCGAGGACATCGCCAAAGGGTACGAGGTTGGGCCGCTCCCGCCGCTCGTTCGGGGGGTGGGTCCGCTCAAGCCAAGGGTACCGGTGCCATCGGCGGAGGCGGAGGGCGACACGACGGCAACCGCGAGGGCCCGCGCGCCCGAGCACGCCACGTCGCTGTGGCCTGTCCTTCGCCAACTTCTCAGGTACACGTACATGCTGCTGCTGTGTTGGTGGCATATGCTGCTGTGTTGATGGCAAGCAGAAGCGTGTGGGGGGGCGTACTCATGTCTTGAAGCGGGGGGTGGGTGGGGGGTTGAAGTCTACATTTATTCAAAATAAGTTACAGGTTGTTGATGTTGTTGTTGTTGTTGTTTTTTCTCACATCAGCTCTATAGTCCCCAAAAATGGGAGCCCGTGGTCGCAAAAACCCGGCACATATGACGCCGCGGGGAAACAAAACAAAAATACGGTACAAACCATTCGGAAAAGGAAAACAAAATGATAGAAAGAAAAGAACAGCTATCGCACCGACCGGTCCAGAAAAGAGCCCTAGGAAACCGATCAAAATAAAACAAAATAAAAATAGAGATGAAAAGGAGGACGCTTCCCACACCCGCCTAAAAAAATCAAAGGGTGACGTACCAGCACCAGGCACCACGCACCAGGGCATGGGAGTAATGGAGGCAACAGAACAAAGAGGCGGCAGATGGGCAGACAGCCAGAAATATAAAAGCAAAAGCAACAGCAAAAGGGAGATCAAGGTACCCAACAAGGCAGAGTAGGCAGGGAGGACAGGAAAAAAGATGTGCCATGACGATTTTGCTGCGTTGTCGACCTGTGTTTTTGCCAAGAAGTGAGCAGATGCGGTACGCGCTTGGTCGGAACCAAGGGTTCTTCGAGCGTGTTACGTGTGGGGCGTGCGATACACGACACCTGTTGTCACACGCCCCCAATCCGTCGATTCTCGATACACACAAATACTCTGTTCAACGTATGTAGCGTTCAACCACGGAACCCCTCGGCGTTTTGTACACTACCCGTTCCTCCGTAGGCTGGACAGCGCGGATAACAACTTCTCGTACCATACGGCTGCTGTAGCGGTGTTGCTGGAAGGGATGCCAGCATCGACGGTGAGAGCACGCGACGGATGGGGGGGAGGAGGGGTGGGGGTGCATCTATGCGCGAAGGGGTGTTGTTCCGTGAGGATGGTTTTGATGATGTCGGCGTGTCGACCCAATTGTTCTGAACGTCAGAGTTTAGACGACACGTTTTTTGCTTTTTTGCTTTTCTGAACACATCCCCTGGAGTCGTCGCACACGAGAGGGAGGTAGGCCACAAGATTTTTTTGTTTCACTTGACCTTTTGCGGTGCTCGCCTATTGTGCTGTTTTTTTACTCACTAGGATCTCAGCGATACGTACATTTATTTATACCTCGTGGCCCGAGAGGGAATATGATCCGTGCACCAGTGCACAAGTGTTCATAGCTTTCCACACACTTGCGGGTCTGGGCACATTTCGGGGAATATCGCACGAGTTAAGTGTAAGTGCGCCTAGGTTCGAACTCGTGTCCCACCAATAAAGGCTGCGATGTCACCACCTCAGCCACTCAACCCGCTGTCGCGACTAAGAGCCTCCTGACACAAGAACATATTTCCGTGCTGTTGAGCAAGTCGTGTCGTGTCTCTGCCCAGGTTGGAGTTCCGGTGTCTTGGTTACAACAAGTTACCACATAAAACACTTCCCCCCCCCCCCCCGAGCGATTGGACATCAGCGATCGGTCCTGTGGGAACAATGCTCCGTCCTCTCGAGGACGCGTTGTCAATGGTCTAACCGCTAAGGCATGCTAAAGAAGGAGCGCCCCCCCCCCCCCCCCCCC